ACACAGACCGCGCCCCAAACACAGCAGGTGAGGGGCGGGACCGCAGCACGCATGCACCCACAAAACTAGATATATCCACGGGACCTACAGATACACCTGAAATACCTGCTGCTTCAGCTGCTGCTGCTGCTGCTCCTACACCCCACTCAGCGTCAAAAGGACGAACACTCTCTATCACCTTCACACCGCTCCCTCGTCCTGCTGCTGCTGCTTGCTCTGCTGCTGCGCGCTCTGCTGCTGCTTGCTCTGCTGCTGCTTGCTCTGCTGCTGCTTGCTCTGCTGCTGCTTGCTCTGCTGCTGCGCGTTCTGCTGCTGCGCGCTCTGCTGCTTCACGTTCTGCTGCTTCACGTTCTGCTGCTGCTGCTCGTTCTGCTGCTTCACGTTCTGCTGCTGCACGCTCAGCTGCTTCACGTTCTGCTCGCTCGGCTGCTTCACGCTCTGCTGCTGCTTTCTCTGCTGCTGCTTTCTCTGCTGCTGCTTTCTCTGCTGCTGCTCTCTCTGCTGCCTCACGTTCTGCTGCTGCTCTTTCAGCAGCTGCTCTTTCAGCAGCTGCTCTTTCTGCTGCTGCCCGCTCTGCTGCTGCTCGCTCTGCTGCTGCACGTTCTGCTGCTGCACGCTCCGCTGCAGCCCGCTCTGCTGCTGCTCGCTCTGCTGCTTCACGTTCTGCTGCTGCTCGTTCTGCAGCCGCTCGTTCTGCTGCTTCACGCTCTGCTGCTGCTCGCTCCGCTGCCGCTCGCTCTGCTGCTGCTCGTTCTGCTGCAGCTCGCTCTGCTGCAGCTCGCTCAGCTTCTTCCCGCTCTTTTGCTGCTCGTTCTGCTGCTGCTCTCTCAGCTGCTGCTCGTTCTGCTGCTGCTCGCTCTGCTGCAGCCCGCTCTGCTGCTGCGCGTTCTGCTGCTGCGCGTTCTGCTGCTGCTCTTTCAGCAGCTGCTCTTTCTGCTGCTGCTCTTTCTGCTGCTGCTCGTTCTGCTGCTGCTCTTTCTGCTGCTGCTCTTTCTGCTGCTGCTCGTTCTGCTGCTGCTCGTTCTGCTGCTAACCGCTCTGCTGCTGCCCGCTCTGCTGCTTCACGTTCTGCTTTAGCTCGTTCAGCAGCTGCTCGTTCTGCTGCTGCTCTCTCAGCTGCTGCTCGCTCTGCTGCTGCTCTCTCAGCTGCTGCTCGCTCTGCTGCTGCGCGCTCGGCTGCTGCCCGTCGTGCTGCTGCTAGCTCTGCTGCTGCTCTCTCTGCTGCTGCTCGCTCTGCTGCGGCTCGCTCTGCTGCAGCTCGCTCTGCTGCTGCGGCTCGTTCAGCAGCAGCTCGCTCGGCTGCTGCACGTTCTGCTGCAGCTCGCTCTGCTGCTGCGCGTTCTGCTGCTGCCCGTTCAGCTGCTTCCCGCTCTGCTGCTGCTCGTTCTGCTGCTTCACGTTCTGCTGCTGCCCGCTCTGCTGCTGCTCGCTCTGCTGCTGCCCGCTCTGCTGCAGCTCGCTCTGCTGCTGCTCGCTCTGCTGCTGCCCGCTCTGCTGCTTCACGTTCTGCTGCTGCTCTTTCGGCTGCTGCTAGCTCTGCTGCTGCTTGCTCTGCTGCTGCTCGTTCGGCTGCGGCTCGTTCTGCTGCTGCGCGTTCAGCTGCTGCTCGTTCTGCTGCTTCACGTTCTGCTGCTGCCCGCTGTGCTGCTGCTCGTTCGGCTGCCGCTCGTTCTGCTGCTGCTCGCTCTGCTGCTGCTCGTTCAGCAGCTGCTCGCTCGGCTGCTGCTGCTTGTTCAGCAGCTGCTCGCTCTGCTGCTGCTCTTTCCGCTGCTTCACGTTCTGCTGCTGCTCGTTCGGCTGATGCCTGCTCCGCAGCTGCTTGCTCTGCTGCTGCTCGTTCAGCTGCTGCTATCTCTGCTGCGAGTCGCTCCGCTGCTGCTCGTTCTGCTGCTGCCTGCTCTGCTGCTGCTCGCTCTGCTGCTTCTTGCTCGGCTGCGGCTCTTTCCGCTGCTTCAAGTTCTGCTGCTGCACGTTCAGCTGCTGCCCGCTCTGCAGCTGCTTGCTCTGCTGCTGCTTGTTCGGCTGCTGCGCGCTCTGCTGCTGCCCGTTCTGCTGCTGCTCGCTCTGCTGCTGCGCGTTCTGCTGCTGCACGCTCTGCTGCTTCTCGTTCGGCCGCTGCGCGTTCTGCTGCTGCTAGTTCTGCTGCTGCTCGTTCTGCTGCTGCGCGCTCTGCTGCTTCTCGTTCGGCGGCTGCTCGTTCTGCGGCTTGTTGTTCGGCTGCTGCTAGCTCTTCTGCTGCTACTCTTTCTGCTTCATCTGCAACTACCTCTTCTGCTGCTGCATGCGCCTCTTCTGCTGCATCCGCTTCTTCTGCTGACTCAGCTGCAGTTGCTGCCTCTGTTTGTTCTACCGCTTCTGTGTACTTTCCTGCGTCAGCATTGGTGTCAGCTGGGTTCCGTGAAGTCTCGTCATCTTCTGCTTCTTCCGCTGCAGCTTCTGCGTTGACCCCCGCCTCAGCCTTCTCCGCTGCCTCGGCTTGAGGCTCGGTTGAGGATGATGCTACTCCACCCTTCCATGGAAGGTCTTCTGCTGCGAGCTCAACGAGGTGGTTGAGTGCTGTCTCGAGGACAGTGGGGGCAAAGACGCCAGGGTGCCACTCCGAGGCTTTCCCGTTCAGAGGCTTCAGCTGCTCATTTTCCAGTTCGCTTGAGGCGTCTTCAGCCGCAGCAGGGTCAGAGTGTAGGTCGTTTTCCTGCAGAGAGGAGGGGTCATCGGGTTCGGGCTGGGCTGGGCGCAGGGGCCGCCTCTCTTCCCCTGCTGCCGGTAGCTCCTCCGCCGCCTCTCCACCCCTCAGTGCCAGAAGAAAGGCCACAGGCAGCCACAAAAGAGGTTTTCGGAGGCTGCAGCCCGTCATTTCGTGGGGCAGGGTACTCGGTGGAACGATCGCGAAACGCCTCTGGGGTCAGCAGCTGCTCCGGAGGCGCGGCCGGAAGAGGGGCGGGGAGGCGTATTTCTGTCCGCCCTCTCTTCAGCAACTCGACAGTTTAAAGGACGTAAAGAAGAATAAACACGAGAAAAGGGATTCAGGGACGCAGGAGAGGAACGCAACGCATCGATTGGCCGCCGCACAGAGGCGACGGCGCGGGAAAGGGGCTGCGTAAGGGCGGGAGAGGGGGAAGAGAAGAACCTGGGTTCCTCAAGTGGAGATAGACTCCAAACAGTAAATCCTCTTTTACTGAACTGCAATACAATCGACGGAGAGGAAACAGAACACGAAGAGCTGCAACCCTCGCCTCGGCCGCTCCAGCCCTCTGAGTGTACAGCGAAAGGCAAAAGAGGAGTATCTCGCGTATTAATGGACCTTTTGAAAAACCTCTTGAATGAATATCTTTCTATTGAAATTCTGCATTTAAAAAACCCTATTAAGAGGCATTTAGATGCTGGTTTCCGTGAGGATCAGCTGGTTTTCCACTTGTCAACCTGAACAGGACCGATGCGGCTGGCTTGCGTCGGCGACCGACGGATGTGGGGTGAGCGGACGCTCCGGAGATTTACAAATTAATTAAACAAAATTCAGAACTTCCTATTCCTTTGTGTATTTCGTCCTCTACTTTTTTACATTTCACAACCGCGTGCTCCAGAAACATCGAGGGAACAGGGGCATGCGTTAGGGCGCAGCATAGGCATTTTCATTCCACTGTACTTCCGCCACAGGCTGTAGCAATGCAGTTCCCTGTGGCCGTCTGATTGACCTTCTTGAGATTTCTTTGCCTCATACATTGAGCCCGTTCATGGAGATAGACGGAGAGGAGGGCCCCCGTGATGATGGGGGGGGCCCACCATCTTCAGCTGAGCAGCTGCCACCGTCCAACGGCAAGTCCCCGTCTTTTTTCGTGTCTAAGGCAGAGGAATATCTGTCTTTGTTTCCCCCCAATATCATGCTTGCCATCAAATTCCTCGAGAAGGGGCTGTCTATATACCCCAACGACGTCGAACTCTTGCAGCGACTGGCGGGAGAATATGCAGAAATAGGAAAGACTGCCGAGGCTAAGGAGCTGCTTCAAAAGGCCATACAACTGGAGGCAAGAAGCACACAGTTTTCTCCCTTGTGTTTCCCTATTTGTATGTCTC